CTGCACCTAGGGAGCACCTAGTCAGATGGGGGAGGCACTGTTTCTGATGCCATGAAGCCCCCAGTCTGATAAAGGAGTTCCTTGTGGGGAACATGGTCTGTCCCTTCCTGACCAACTTCTCTGCAGGACTGACAACACAGCTTGAGGGAGCTTCTGTTCCTTTCCTTGTTCCACTGTCCCCACAGGCAAGGGTGACAGGGTCTTCCTGGCCTTCTGCCTGGGTCTCTATCCTCTTGCCATCACTCAGAGCAAGTCACTCCCTAGGCAAGGTGGCTGAATTGATTCTTCTGGTTTTAATTCAGTACTTTGAGCCCCACTCCCCCAGCGGGCTGCAGGGAAAGAGTAAAAGATTGATGAACTGGGTGTCGGGATCAGTCCTGTCCTTGCTGGGCACAGATGGCACTTTCCAAGGGCCCATTGAAGAGCATGTAATGAAGAAACTATGTGTGGAGTATGGGCAGGTCCATGTGCGTGAGACAGTAGGACTCCCAGGGATCAGCCACAGCCGGGAGTCGCTACCACCCTGGGGCCGAAGGACAAGGGTGATGCTATGACTTCACCCAGCTGATGCCATGACCCTGGGAGTGCAGTCACTCCCAAAGCCAGGGCCCACAGCGAGAGGGCTCACACAACCCTAACTTCTCTCTCCTCCTACCTTCCATCATGGCCCCTCTCAGGCCTGATCAAACTGGATGTTAAAGACGGAAGGAGCCTGGTGACCCAGCGCATGGAGTTCAGGGGTTCAGAGAAAGTCAGAATGTGGATGGAGAGAGGGAACCAAGACAGAGTAACAACTAGAGAGTGGTGCTGAGGACTCACGCTCACCCCTCTGCTCTGGCCTCAAGCCCCCAGGCCAATAGCCTGACCCTGAGAGGCCTCGGCCAGTGGGCTGGTTGGGAGCTGCCCCCTCCAAAACAGAGCTTTGAAAAATATATTCCTTCCATCCCCACATCATTTCCTGCCCCTCCTAAGTCCACTGGAGGCTAAAAGGCAGGCAGGTCCAAGAGGACTTCTTGGAGGAAAAGGTACAGTTGGGCTTCATAAGCTTCCTGATGAAAAAGGGCAAAGGAGGAGAAACTTGAGACCAAGAGGAAGAAAAGAAGGAGAGGCACAAATATTTTTGAGCCCTATTAAGTATAAGGTAGGACATGGATGCTTTCTCATCTGTTACCAACTCCCCCACCTCCCTTCCTCCACACTTATCAAAACAATCCTGAGGCTGGTATCAGGATTTTCATTTTATGGATGGGGAGACTGAGGCTCAGAGAGGTTATGTGACTTCTCAGACATCACACAGCAAGGGGTAGAGTCAGAATATAGACATACATCTACCTGAGTCCAGGAAAGAATACATGAGGGTCTATAAAGATGCGGAAAGGTTGGAGTGTGGGCAAAAGCTGAACAGGGTCCTAAACCCATGGGGAAGCAGGGGGCAGAGGGTTCCGTCTGTGGCTCTTGGGAGGGGTCTGGATGGTTTTGTATTCACGCTTCTGGACGATGTGCTGGTGGGGTGTAGGGAGTGGGTCACAGGGTGGGAGGTACCCAACTCTGGTTGCTTTTCGTGCTGCCAGGCTGTGGGCTGATGCGGGGTCCCGGACAGGTTGAGAGAGGTTTTGTGATTGGAGTGGGGCAGGGACTGAAAAGCTTGGGGAAAGTCCCCAGGGATGGGCTGAGAAGACCTTGGGGAAGGGTGGGGCTCTCTCCTTGGCCCCAAAGGATGATTTTAGTTGGGGGTGAGTTTTGGCTGGTAAGGGGCAAAGGAGGGTCGGGAGATGCAGGATCCAGCCGTGCCTCCTGGGGATTGGGAGAGAGCATCGGTGAGGCTGGAGGCTGGGAGCAGCACTGTGTGTGGGTGGCTGGGGGACAGACAGTGGAATGGGAGGCCTGGGGACCTGGTCTCCCCCTCCCTGGGGATACCCAGTGAGGGTGGAGACCAGCACTGTGTGTGGTTTAGGGAGGGTGGAGGAAGGGGGGCCAGTGGGGCCTACTTCAGGGCAGCACACTCCAGGCCTGGAGCCCAGGGGTGCGGCTGGGTGAGGTAAGGGCCGATGGAACTGGAGATGGGAGTCTCAGCATAGCTGTCGTCCCCGATGTGAAGGTCCTCTGGCTTCCAAGGAGTCAAGTCCTTTTGTCTGGTCTGGCCCTTCCCCCAGCCAGGCCTTCAGCATTGGCGAGGCCATGAGGGAGGGGCTCAGGGCCTGGGGAATTTTGTGCAGATTTTCTCTTTTCTTTGCCTCCAGATCCTGTGAGTGTGTGCGTACGTTATCTGAGAGAGAGAGAGACAAGAGAAAGAGAGACTTCCTTCCTTGTATCCAAATGCTTAACACAGGCCCAGGAGGATTGAGATGGGTGGGGTTGGGAACTGCTCTTCTGAAACGTTTATTAAAACAATCCAGTCCAAGGCTGAGGGAGTAGAAGTAGTAAGATGCAGACTCCCTGATGCCAGCCCCCTTTTACAGGTGAGGAAACTGAGGCTCAGAAAGGGGAGTGGCTGGTCGAGATCACACAGGGCTTAAAGGAAGAAAGTCCCTGCCACCCAGGCAAGGGGAATTTATCCCTTGCAGAGGGCCAGCGGCAACTCCTGTGATAACCCACAGGAACGGATGGCTACCTTTGGCCTTAACATCCACTGAGGACCTGTTTCCCCATGATCAAACAGCATTACAAATAATAGTTCTTTTCTTATAGAGTTGATAGGAGGAGTAAATCACTTACTACAAGTAAAGAGTTTAGAACAGTGCCTGGCATATAATAAGCATTTAATAAATGCTAACAATAAATAATAACAACAATAATAAATAATGATGATGAGGATAAAAGATGCCGCTGTTTTAAAGTGGACTACCCAGTGATGTTGAGTCTGATCTTGCCTCACTGGTCAGAGAGGGCGGAGAGAGGTAGCCCCTGGGGCCAGAGGTCTGCCTGCTCCTGGCATGGTGGGACCTGCAGTGGTCAGTCCCTGGGCCCTACATTTGCACCCTGGACACTCACTTCCCAGTTTCCGCCTTGAGGCTCCCTGTGAGTCACACGTGTCCACTTGCCTTATCCTGGCCAGCAGAGCAATACTATCAGCCTGGGAGCCCCCCAAGGGCAGGGCCCCATCCTGCGTCACCACTTGCTCAGCCCGCCTGCCTGGCCAGCCCTGAGAGGGGGTCAGCCAAGGCGCTGCCTGCCTCATAGCCACCGGGCCCCAGAGCATCTGCTTTCCTCCTGTTCTTGTCCACTCAGCCTGGCTAGGAATGATGATGACAGCTGACACGCACGTGGCGCCTCCTCAAGGCTGACATACACACTTCTCAGTCCTTTGGGTGCACAGTCACTCATCTCGTTCCTGCAGATCGAAGCTGCTCTTATCTCCATTTTGCAGAGGAAACAAATTGCAGATGCAAGATTTGCCCAGGGTCACAGAGCTGGCAAGTGGTGGAACCAGGATTTCAACATAGGCAGGCTGGTTCCAAACTCAGCACCCTTAAGGGCCACGCTCTGAGAGCAGCGCTTTCTCTCCTCCTCCAGGCTTTGGGTGACCTGGCTGAGGTGGCGAGAAGCAAGCAGTTCCTTACTGCAGACTGTGCAACAGCTTTCTTGGGCTGTCTCCCTCATGTTGTCATCACTCCTACCTTCCCTCCCTCGTGCTTATGGCCTCACTGTCCATTCTGTTCTGTGGTTTCTGAACTGAGGTCTGATACTCTGTTTCTGTACATTTCCCACATCCAGACCTCTCCAGGTGGCTCCCAACACGACTTCTTAACACCTGTCCCTACCCGATTCACCTTTGTCCCCTCCCCACTCCCCCTCCCACCTCCTGGGTGTAGACTTCAGAGTTCCAGCTATTCTTTTCATTGGCTGAGAAGCAGACAAAGAACTGGTCAAGAATGAGCCTTCCTCTGGGCACCCCAGCAGCCCAGGTTGGTTCCTTCTGGGGCAAGCATTTCTGAGCATGAGGGTGGGTGTGCGCACGGGAATGAAGGCTTTGTGGGAGAATCCAGTGGGGCCAGGCATGAGGACAAAGAGGTCTGAGGTGAGATCGAGTTGGGACCACAGTGACTAAGCCAACACACTGGCCTGCTCCTTGCTCCCAGGAGGAACAGTTTTGAATTGCTAGGTCCTCCTTCTGGAGTGTGTTAAGTACAAAGCATGCCACTTCCACACTTCGGCAATCTCTTCCTCCCCTCCGTTTTCCTCTGTCCAGCCTGTGGGCCTTAGGAAGTGGGCATAGGCCCTGTTGTTTACTCTCTGGTGCTGCCCCTGGGTCTGGCCTTCGTCCACGCGAGGCCAGGATGGATGGCGCAAGTGAGATGGTGTAACGGCCTTTACTCCTTCCTTGGCCAAAGGGTTGACTCTGACCCAGTTCCAAGATGGTCACAGGGAGGGGCCACATGGAACTCCCTGGGTCCCTGGGATGCCACCTGCAAGATGGGTGGAGGGAATGGAATCACAGGTGCCCACTGAGGCCAAGAGCCCAGCTGCCCCAGGTGACCTCAGGTGTTAGCTGGTACTGCCAGGAGCTCTGGCTGTGCTTATACGTATGTATGGTGGGAACCACTGTGTTATGTGCTGTCTTAGTAGCAACGCTCGGTAACACTCCGCAAACAGAAGTAGCCTTTGCAAACTCTACCCGGCTTTGCAAACCGTTGTGGGAGCCTTCAAATGCAGTGGGGCAGGGTGAGTCAGGAGGAGTCCATTGGCTTGCCCCTGGCTTTTCTGTGGTATGAATGAGCCACAGAGTAAGGATTCAGCAGCTGGACTGAGACCAGCCGCCTGCTGGCTGTATCGGCCCTGAGAGTTATCAGCAAATCTTTACCAAGTTTACCTGGTGGCTCTCTGAAGGTGTACGGGGCTGGCAGTCCAGCCTTCAATCCATTCTTGCCACCAGCCCTGGACAAACTCACCCGGGGAGAAGGTAGTTTCTCTCTGTGTAGGTTCCAGTCTCAGATGCTGCCTTTGTCTCTGGGTATACTCAGAATTAGGTTTGGTTATGAATGACAGAAAAACCCAAATAATGGTGTTTTATATAAGATGTTTATTTCTCTCTCACATAAAGGAGGTCGAGTGATATTCCGTCTAGGTTTGTTAGGATGGCTCTGTGATCATCAGTGATACAGACTCTTCCTACCTTATTGTGCCATCAATCTCAAACATTGCCTCTACTTCATGGTGCTGTATGGCTGCCGGAGCTCCAGCCACCATATCGGCATTGCAGCCAGCTAAAGGAAGGAAGTGGGGAAGAAGGGCATGCCTCCCCTGACCTGAAAGTCACATCCCACGTCACCCAGGACATGTCTCTGTATATCCTATAGGCAGAATTAATCATATAGCTGCACATAGCCTCCAGGGTGGATGGAAAATGTAGTCTTTAGTTTGGGTGGACATGTGCCAAGCCTAAAATCAGGGGTCTTGCTACTGAGGAGGATGACCAAACAAAGAATGGAGTATAACTAGCTGTCCTTGCAACAGCCTGCAGCCTGAGCAGAAGGTTCCAGATGCCGTATGATTCCCATAGGTCCCTCTGGATAGCATTCTTGCTGTGGGGAGTGGGCCTCTGGCTCCCGGTCGGGGCCCAGTCTCCAGCTTTGGGACTTGAAGTCTTCCTTGGAGCTGTGGTGGTAGCAGGAACATACCCTTCCTGGAGTCTCCAGCTGGGAGAGGATGAGTTTGATGATTAAGGCCAGCCATGCCATCCCAAAGAGGATCCACAGGGACACCACGTTCTTGTACCACAGTGGATACCTCCGGGAGGGGTTCATCCCTGGGGAAGAGGCGAGGTCAGAGGATGGAGGCCTGGGAAAGTCAGGACCACATTCCTCAAACACAAACAGAGATACATGGTTTGATTCATATAAGCAAGTTGAGGGGTCAGTGGGACAGAACATGGAGATTCCTAGCCTCATGGTCACCTGCAAAGGATTCCAGAAAGCCTCCCTGGATTGGCACTTGGGTTTAGGAGCTACATTTCCTCTTTGTCTTTCTGAGGGAATCTGTTTATGCTCCATCCCAGCAGTTCTCAAAGTGTGGCCCCTGGGGCCGGCAGCATCAGCATCCCTGAGAGCTTGTTGGAAATGCAGATGATGGGGCCCCTACCCCAGACCTACTGGATCAGAAACCCTGGGCATAGGCCCAGCAATCTGTATTTTTTTGTTTTGTTTTGTTTTGTTTTGCAGACAGAGTCTCACTCTTGTTGCCCAGGCTGGAGTGCAATGGCGCGATCTCGGCTCACTGCAACCTCCGCCTCCCAGGTTCAAGCGATTCTCCTGCCTCAGCCTCCCAAGTAGCTGGGATTACAGGCACCTGCCACCATGATTGGTGAATTTTTTGTATTTTAGTAGAAGTGGGGTTTCACCATTGTTGCCCAGGCTGGTCTCAAACTCCTGAGCTCAGGCAATCCGCCTGCCTCAGCCTCCCAAAGTGCTAGGATTACAGGCATGAGCCACCGTGCCCGGCCAGCAATCTGTTATTTTAACAAACCTCCAGAGGATTTCGATGTCCGCTCTAGTATTTGCCAGTCTCTGTTTGGTTTTCTTGTATCTGAAAGGAGGTAGCTTGCTGGAGCCACGGGATTTGGGAAGAACACTGGAATATGTTGGGAACCACTGGAATATATTTCCTGACTCGGTTCTTCAGTCACCTGTCTGAACCTCCTTCACCTGTGAGATGGGGAATACGACTGTGCTTCCTTGGCTTTTAGGATGAAGTCGAAATCCTCAAGGCCCTCTGCCCGCTTCTGCAGCACACCTCTGCCCTCTGACTGCCTGGTCATTCTGGTCTTTTTCCCGTTGCCCTCTCTATCATTCTTCCTGCCTCTGGGCCTTTGTACTTATGGCCTCTCAGTTCCAAATGCTCTTCATTTTCCATTTTCCTTGGCCTGGTTACCTTTCCTCATCCTGCAGACCTCAGTTCAGACATTCCTCCCTACAGACCACATTGGGTTCCTCTGTTACACGTGCTGCTCTCATGGCCTATGTGTGTCTGCTGGGAAAGTTACTTCCTCATCTGTAAAATGGAGACAGTAAGAGTCCTCCTCCTATGACTGTTGGGAGGATCACACGGGCTGATGCAGCTCAAGTGCTCAGAATGGTGCCTGGCACATAACAGGTGCCCAAGACCTGTAGATGGTTGCTGGTTTCACTCACCACCAGACGCCCCCAACGAAGTTGGTGCTGGGTAAGTATGGCCGAGAGAGGGGACGGATGGGAGCTGCTGTGAGTCTTAGATAAATCTTGCCAAGGATTTGCTCTATCATTTAGTTCCCTCCCTGGAGGTCTGTGTTGCCTCCCTCATCAGATTGGAATCATTCAAAGGGTAGAGATCTCCCCTCCTATTTCTTCGTCATCCTTTTCTGTCGTTGCTCCCTGTACCATGCCTCTCTTTACTCCTCATCCTGTCCTGCTGGCCCCAAGACAGCCTCTCTCTCTAGGTCCCCCAAGGCTGGGCCCCTCTCTAGGACCCCCACATGGGGATGAGGCTGCCACCTGGGAGCTGACCTCTGCTGCCTGGCAGGAGCTGGGATTGGATTAGGCTGATTGGGTTATGGGGCCATGATTCCGCTGATGGTCCCAAATGAGATCAGGTGGTGAGCCAGCTTTCTGGCCCTGCCACCCGCCAGCCTGGCTTGCTCCTGGAGACAGAGTGGAGGAGGTGCTCTTCTCCCCGTTTTATTTTATTTTTTTAAGCTGAAATCATAAGTGGCAGGAGACCTGGCAGCTGGCAAGGCGCTCAACTGAGCTGCAAATGCAATTGGGAGGCTTGAGGGCTATGGGGCCGGGGAGGAGCAGCCGGCTGGGACCTGGGGGTGGCTCTGGCCACTGCCTTCAGGCAGAGGAGTGGCTATGAAGACAGTGCTTCTTGTGGCTGCTGATGCAGGGACGTGAACACCCAGTAGCCAAGTGGTGGACCTTAGTATCCCCATCCAAGAAAGGGGTTGTCCCTGTTACTGGAGGACAAGGAGAGCTGAGAGGTTTGAGGAATAGGCATGGAAGACTCTGAAACATGGGTGGTGTGAAGGGCCCAGGCTTGGGAATTTATCCTACACTTGCCCTGACTCACTTGCTCTACGACCTTATGCAACTCCCTTCCCTCCTCCAGGCCTCAGTGTCTCCATCTATATAAGGCGGATCCCTTGAAGGTAAAGCAGTTGGGACTCTCATTGTGGTGACCTGCTACGAGGCACTGCCATGACTGCCAAGGGGCCCAGGAGGTAGCAAGTCTCCAGAGATGTGGTGAAGGGGCAACTCTGCCCACTGCAGTGGCTGCTGGACAGGAGTGCTCTTGCCCATCCTTGTTCCAGGCCCGGGCAGTCCCTCTGGGCTTAAAGTCTGGACTGGGTCTCCTCAGTCAGATTGTGTTGGTAGGAGGGGGGTTACAGATTTTGGACTTTATCCTAAAACTATGGGAAAACAATGAAGGTCTTCAGAGGAGTTGGGCAGGTGACTTCATAGCCTTTGTAATTTTTAAGGTCATAAGAGCCAACAGGGGACAAGGAGAGGGGCTGCACAAGCCCATGGGTGCCATCCTTATTATGCTCTGTGTAAGTAGCAAAACTATAGGATTGTGCAGTGCCCAACCTGTGCAGCTATATGCAACAACCCTGCCTGGACTAGGGAAATGGCAGAGTGGAGATAGAGAAGAAATGACAGATCTAAGAATCATACTCTGAGCTGCGAGGGTGCAGGTATGGCCCTTGGAGCTACTGGGCTCAGCTGCCCTGAGACACATCTCTCTACTCTGAGGGTAAAGGTGGGAGCATGACCCAGTTGGAAGAAATCTTCCCAAGAATTTCCTTCCAGAGCAACAGACCTCCTAGGATAAGGGAGGATAACGGAGATCAAGAAGGGGGCAGTGTGAGGCCCCAACACCTGACCCCTCTTCCTGGGAACCTTGCAAACAGGCTAGACAGCACTGAGGAGCTCTAGGGATTGCCTCATTTTATAGGCAGGAACACTGAGGCCCAGAGAGGAGACATTTTAGGTGGTCTGGAAAGAGTATGAATTTTGGAGTCAAATAGATAAAGATTCATATCTTACTAGCTGTGCAATCTCAGGCAGATGGCTCAGCCTCTCTGAGCTTCAGCTTCCTCCTCGGTAAAATGGGGGTGACAATTGTTGCTGTAGGTTGCCTGAGGAGTTAGTTGACTGTTACTTTGGTAAAACTTCATTCTTCCAGGCGGGGTTCTGTCGCTGAAGGAGTGAAGAAGGGCAAGGCCTCCTCCCCGCGTTAGGGTCCGGGATCAGAGGGAGGGCACGAAGCCCCTCAAGGCTAGCGCGGTGGTGGTGCCAGGGGCACCTTCAGGGACAGGAAGGGGCGGTGATGAGGCTGAGCTGGGGCGCGGCCACTCCCCCACGGCGCAGCACGTCCCTCCACTGCCACCTGCTGGGCATCGGCCTCAGCCTGATTACACAAGGCTGCTGGCTTCTGGGGCCCGTGTAGTACCACTGATTAAACCCACCCTGGGTCCACTGATCATGAGACCCTTTCTTGCTGGCACTCAGAATCTGCCTGCCAACTGTTTTCCCACAGGGCTCTGGGGAGGCTGGGGTTTCAGGAGTCTCCCAGACCCTACTGCCTGATCCGCGGGTACTGTGGCCTCCAGTCCAGGAGCAGTGGGACGGACTGGCGTTCCCTGGGGAGAGAGTGAAGTGGGGAAGGGAGAGCCTGGGGCAAGCATGGACCAGGGAGGGAGGCCGGGACTCCCGTCATGTGGGGCCTTCTAAGCACAACAGGGGGGCCCGCGGACCTGTCAGACCTCTCTGCGTTGGTCACGAAGGGCCGGAGCGACCTCAGCCCCGTCACACAACAAAGGCGGGTAGGACAGTGTCTCCGGATTTTGGGCCTAAAAGCCCCCACATGGCGTGCACACAGCAGGTGCGCCAGCTGCGGGAGCAGATGAGTGAGAGGAGTAGGCAGCGGTATGTCCCTGCCAGCCCACCGCCGGGAACTCTCACCAATAACGTAGTCGCCAAAGCCCACGGTGCTGAGGGTAATGAAGGCGAAGTAGAAGCTCTCCATGTAGCTCCAGCCCTCCATGTGGGAGAACAGCAGGGGTGGCAGCAGCAGGAAGAGCAGGAGGCCAGAGAGAAGGGCGCCAGAGCCGGCCAGCCACCGCGCCTTGCCCGGGTCCTGTGGGTACAACAGTGTCCCCAGGCCTCCTGTGGCCTTTACCCCACGCATGGGAGCCGAGGGAGCTGGAGGCAGGCCAGAGCTCTCCCCAGTAAGAAGGGGGCTCTTCACCTGGTCCGTAGTCTCCAGGTTCCCTGCCTGGAGCCTGTGCCTCATGTCCTTCCTGTCTGCCCAGTCCCACCCCGCTTCCACCACTAATGTCCTTTTTCACTGAGGACTCTATTCTGACCAGTGACCCCCAGTCCCATCACAACCCCACCAGTAACCCCTGCTCCCATCTCTTCTCATTAGTAACCCCAATTCCCACCGCAGCCCCTCATTCTAGAAGTGACCCATCCCCACCCCGTCCAGCAGCCCCCTCACCTGCCAGGTGCCCCCCAGCCTGCTGGAGCAGTGGTTTACTCCCTGCTGCATGAGATGCCCCAGTCGGTTGAGCACCACGAGGTTCAACGGGATCCCCACAAGGGCAAAGAAGATGCAGAAGAGGCGGGCGGCCATCGTGTTGGGGCTCAGGTTGCCATAACCTGAGGTGAGAGGGGGCACTCAGGGGACCTTTCCAGCCCAGCCCTGTCCACTCACCACCACAGCCCCACTCCTGGGCCCAACCCCCAGGACCCTCATTCTAACCACTGCAGATGTGGGCAGCTGATACTTGCCAAGGCCCTCCTTTTTTGTGCTGAGCACTGTGCAGGGCACCCTGTACATTCATTCCCTCAGTGCACCCTCGAACCATCCTTCCAAATCAGAATTACGTGCCATATTTTCCAGGCCAGAGAAGCTCTAGGAGGCTAAGCTGCATGCATGAGCTCAAACCCACCAAATGTGAGTCTCCTCTTCCTCTCTTCATGTCCTTCCTCTCTGGGTGGGCAGAGGGATGCTGGAGGGGGCAGAGCCTCCTGCTGTTGCACTCTCAGGATCTACTGCGCCATTCAGGCTGAGGCCGCGCTGTCTCCACGCGGCTCCCAGCCCTGCTTGGGCACAGTGGGGCACTGAAGCTGGTCATCCCTGCCCAGTGCAGCACTCCTCTCGCAACCTTTGCTCTGGGATCCCCATGGCCTGGCCCAGACTTTCTCACAGCCGCACTGCAGTGAGCAGCTCTTCCCACTCCAGTCTCCTTTCTTCCCTCTCTCCTTTCACAGGTATCAGGGCTGCTTGCAGTCTGAGACTTTTGCCATTAATTCCTGTTTCTTCTCTTTTATCCTTCAAAGGCTCCCCTCAATATATCTTTTGTGCATCTAATTCTGTCTTGATATCTGATTCCTGGAGGACCCAAACTAGCACAACGGGGCTCCCTCATAAACCTCAGTGGGAGGCAGGGACAGATGGTAAGTCATCAGCTGCCTAGGGGAGGAGGTAGAAGTTGGGGGGGAGGGTCTCTGATCATCAAGATAGGGAGGGGGAAAGCTAGGGAAGGAAAAGATGTTCACAAAAGATTCTATCCATCTGGACATTCTTTTCTCCTCCAGCTCTGCCTCCACCCTTCTTGATCACCACCACAGTCTTGTCTTACCAAAATGCAAACCTGATTAGATCATCGAGTCTCCTGTCTGCTGGGGAAAGTCCAAGCTCTCGTCCAGCCTTTCTCTGAGACTCGTCTGGTGCCCCCACTGCCCCAGCTCCAGCCACATTGCTGGCCTGCAGAACTCTCCAGGTCCACTCGTGCCTCTGCACCTTTGACCACAATGCTTCCTCTATGAAGAGTGTCTCCCCTCCTTGCCCACATAAATATAAACGACCCTTCTAGTCCTTGACTCTCCAGTGCAGCTGCTCCTCATCCAGGGCCCCCTCCAGCACTGTCCCTTGCACTGTGTAAGAAAGATTTGTTTTCATGTCTGCCTCTTCCAAATATATCAAGTGTATGCTCTGAGCCCCTCAAGAGCAGGGACTGGGTCTTTTTTTTTTTTTTTTTTTTTTTAAGACGTAGTCTCGCTCTGTTGACCAGGCTGGAGTGCATTGGCACAATCTTGACTCACTGCAACCTCTGCCTCCTGGGTTCAAGCTGTTCTCCTGCCTCAGCCTCCTGAGTAGCTGGGATTACAGGCATGGGCCACCACGCCCGGCTAATTTTTGTATTTTTAGTATAGACAGGGTTTTGCCATGTTGGCCAGGCAGGTCTCGAGCTCTGACCTCAGGTGATCTGCCCGCCTTGGTCTCCCAAAGTGCTGGGATTACAGGCGTACGCCTCCACACCCGGCCTGGGACTGGTTCTTAATCATGATATTCTCAGCAAGTGGCAAAGGATCTGACCCTTAATAGGTGCTCTTCACTATATGTGTGTTGACTGCATAAAGAATGGGTGAATGAATGAATGAGGAAATTACAAAAATGAAGGTATCAGTAAATGAACAAATGCCTCTCATTCTGCCTCCTATCACTACCTAACATTCTTGCTTGCCCAGATGGGGTCACTGTGCCCACACATCCTACACTTGTCTGTACTATATTGAAACCAGTGTTTACATCCACCCCCATCTTACTGAGGGGTCTTAAGAGAGGCCAAAGTATGTAAAAGTCCAGAGCATGTGCTTTGGAGTCTGGTGCACCTCCTAGGTTTGGATCCCAGCTCAGCTTCTTGCAGGCTGTGGGACCTTGGGCAAGTGGCTCGATCTTTCTTTCTTTCTTTTTTCTTTTTTTTGAGATGGAGTCTTGCTCTGTCACCAGGCTGGAGTGCAGTGGTGCGATCTCGGCTCATTGCAACCTCTGACTCCCTAGTTCAAGCGATTCTCCTGCCTCAGCCTCCCGAGTAGCTGGGATTACAGGCACGTGCCACCACGCCCAGCTAATTTTGGATTTTTAGTAAAGATGGGGTTTCACCATGTTGGCCAGGATGGTCTCAATCTCCTGACTTCGTGATCCGCCCGCCTCGGCCTCCCAAAGTGCTGGGATTACAGGTGTGAGCCACTGCACCCAGCCTTCTTTTTTCTTTTCTTTTTTTCTTTTTCTCTTCCCTTCTCTTCTGATCTCTTCTCCTTCCTTCCTCCCTCCCTCCCTCCATTCCTTCCTTCCTTCCTTCCTTCCTTCCCTCCCTCCCTCCTTCCTTTCCTCCCTCCCTCTTTTCTTTCTTTTCTTTCTTTCTTTCTTTCTTTCTTTTCTTTTGGCTTGACCTTTCTGAACGCTACTTCCTCCTGTAAAATGGGGATGCTGACATCCACCTATAGTGGGGGGTAACGATGAAATGAGGAATTGAGGTACACTGTAGAAGGGAATGCGAGCCTGCAAGCATCTGGTATATACAAGGTGCTAAATGTCTGTTAAATAAATGAATGATGGAACTCCAGTGAACTGGCTTCCGGTCTGAGGACTTCAGAAGCCTCTTGAGTCTCCATCTACCTCTCCCTCTGGCCTTTATGGGTTTCCTCTTCTAAAGGAGAGAGTTCTTTCTGCAGGCATCTAGGGCGAGGTAAACCTCCTACTTTCCACCCACCTCTCCACCTGCCTCCTCACCAACCTCTCCTCCTCCAGCTGTAGGTCCTGCCAAGTTCCTCTCTTCCTGTTTTTTTTTTCCCCATTCAGTTTTCACCAGTGGGATGGGGACACTAAGATTCCAGCTCTGAAAGGAGCCCCATAGAGGCCTACAGCATTCTCAGCTGACATTAAATGGTTTTTTTTCCACCCCATTATTCTCAGCCATCTCTCAGGTCAGCAAAATCAGCGGATGTCAATGATCCTACCTGTTGAACACTGGGTAGCCACAGCCCCACCCAATCCACCTCTCACTCCAGCATGTCTCCTGTCACCTTGCATCTTGCTGGGATCTCTAGGCATCCTGCGAGGACCCTACAAGTCTTTCTATGATTGGTGTCCTCTGTACTCTCTCTGAATGCAGTTCCTGTTTCCAACCCTCTCCACCTACCTGGACCTCCTTACTGCTCCCCAAACATACAAGTCACACTCCCACCTCAGGGCATTTGCACTTGCTGGTAGAGGATTCTCTCCTCAGACATCAGCAGTTTGCTTCATTATTTTACTTATGTCCCTGCTTCAATGTTACTGTATCAGCGAGTCCTTGAATGGCCACCCCATCTACAATAGGTGCCCCCATCACTATGAGACCCCTTTAACTAGCTTTACTTTTCTCTAAGCACACCCCACTTTCTGATTATTGTCCATGTATCTGTTTAATGTGTGTCCCCTCACACTAGAATGTCAGCTCCCCAAGGGCCAGGACTTGCTAATTTTGGCTACCATTGTATCCTCAACACCAGTGTCTGGCCCACACTAGGTACGCTATTGATTGATTGATTGATTGATTGAGGCAGAATCTTGCTCTATTGCCCAGGCTGGAGTGCAGTGGCACAATCTCAGCTCACTGCAACCTCCGCCTCCCAGGCTCAAGCGATTCTCATGTCTCAGCCTCCCAAATAGCTGGGATTACAGGCACCCGCCACCATGCCTGGCTAATTTTTGTATTTTTAGTAGAGATGGGGTTTCACCATGTTGGCCTGGCTGGTCTCCAACTCCTGGCCTCATGTGATCCACCTGCCTCTGCCTTCCAAAATACTGGGATTACAGGCAAGAGCCACCGTGCCTGGCCTTCAATTTATTTATTGAACAAATGGATGGATGAATGAGAGAACCAATGAACAAGCCAGGAATGGAGTTCATAGATGAGTGATTTCTGGGCACAGGGCTGTGTTAGGGCTTGGAAAGTACTACCCTTACAGGGTTCTGGTCCCAGGGTAATGGGGTTGCTGAGGAGGCTGCCCTCCGCTGAGCCTCTCAAAATACCCCTTCTTCCCTTGTGGCATTCCAGATGTACCTCATCTCCCATCTCCCTCTCCTTCTCTCTCCAAATTCCTCCCATGTGTATGTGCATACACATGTGGTCAGCGTCACAGAACCCTCACTCCCCTCCTGTTCACTCCACAATGGCTAGTCAACTCTGTTGCTCATTAGCCGTATGACCTGGAGGAGATGGTGCCCATCTGTGTCCCCATCTGTGACATGAAAATAGGCTGGATGCAGTGGCTTATGCCTGTAATCCCAGCACTTTGGGAGGCCGAGGTGGGTGGATCACTTGAGGTCAGGAGTTTGAGGCTAGCCTGTCCAACATGGTAAAATCTTTCTCTACTAAAATACAAAAATTAGCCGGGCATGTTGGCAGGTGCCTGTAGTCCCAGCTACTCAGGAGGCTGAGGCAGGAGAATCTCTTGAACCCGGGAGGCGGAGGTTTCAGTGAGCTAAGATCATGCCACTGCACTCCAGCCTGGGCAACACAGCGAGACTCTATCTCAAACAATAAAGAAAATAAGACCTATCGTTGGAGGTTGCCATATGGACAAACTGAAATCTTAAATGTCAAAGTGCCCAGCACAGTGCCTAGTACAAGAAGACCACAGGTGTTTCCTCAGGTGTACTGTGTTGGGGAGGTGGGGCAGGGCCCTCCTCTCTCTGCCCTCCTCACCCTCACAGCTGGTTGAAACTGAGTGGAGAGGAAAGGACAGAGACATAATCTAGGCTAGGGGTGGTAGAGTTGGGAAGAGAGGTGGGAAGAGAGGTAGCAAAACCCTGAATTTGGTGGGTCAAAGTCACAGGCCTGGGGAAGAGTGTGGGAGGTGTGGGGTTTGCAGACTAAAGGACCCCCAAATCTGGGAGGCCTGGCCTATGGTGACTGTGTTTTAAGATCTCCTGCTACCCTGGAACTCAATACATGCCTGGTGAATGCATATTTAATGGAATTCCTTAACGTGGCAGTATTTATTGAGTGGCTGCTGTATGCTGGGCCTTGTAATAGACCCTTGGGGATGTAAAGATGAATTGGTCCATCCTGCCAGTCCTTCAGGGGCTCAGGGCCCCTGGGGTCTGGGGTGCCTCCCAAGCATGCTTGTCTCAAGGACTGCCCAAGCTCCCATGTAGCTCTGAGGTCTGCTTTCAAGAAGTTCTGGCCAATTTAAAACTAGATGGAGAATCCTCTGGGTGCTCTTGCCTTACCCCACCCTGTGGGGAGGCTGGGATATTGGTGTCCTGGAGAGAGGATCCTGGCTGGCCAGGAGCTGGGAGGCCTTAGCCCAAGTCACCGGTGATATCAGCCTGCCACCTGGTGGCAAGTCCTGTGTCATGCAGGGGCTGGGGCAGAAGGATCTGGGTGGCTTGATTTGCATGATCTCCTAGGTTTCAGAGCTGCAGGGATCTAGCCTGCTCTTCTTCTCTGCACAACAGCCCCTCAGCACCCTCCTGAGACAAGCTCTACCTCGGCTCTTCCCCAGGGGAGGGTTACTCCAGGTGTCCCTGTGTGTGGGGAGGACAGCGATGAGGAGTGGAGGAGGCTGTTTGCAAGCTGAAGAGAGGCCTGTGGGAACGGGGTCTGGAGACGAGGAGGTGGGAGGAATGGCCCCCTCCCCCAGGGCTGAGAAGCAGGGGGGTCTAAAGCTCTTTCTTTGGATTTCTACTCCTTCTTCTTTCCTAACTTTCCCCCCACTTCTCCTGACCACCACCCCCGAGGCTCAGTGGTGGGTGGGCTCAGCTGAGGAGACTGGCACCCTTGTTGGGTCCAGAGACATGTTTCTTGCTGTACCGGGAGATTTCTGCGTCCTGAAAGGCCATGTGGGGCAGAAATCCCCTAGGGCAGTGCTTGTCAAACTCCAACGGTGCACATGAATCCCCCAGGGACCTGGGTGAGCTACAGAGGCTGAGTCAGGAGGTCTGTAGTGAGGCCTGAGACTGCGCCCAGGTGGTGTCCACGCTGCAGAGCCGGACTGCACTTGGAGTCATGAGGCTCTAGGTAACCCCTCCAAAAGGCAACCAGCCTGCTGCCTCTCAGGGAGCTGCCTCCTTCCCCACCCCCATCCCCCTGGCCCCATCTGGCCCTTACCAATGGTGGTGATGGTGGACACAGAAAAGAAGAAGGAGCCCAGGAGCTCCCAGCGCCCCATGCCGGTGGTGTTGCTGAGGAGGCTGGCCCCGTTTTTGTACGCTTGGACGACGTCCTGGGGAAGAGGCTGCAATGACCACCAGGGTCTGTGGGGTGACGGATTTCCTGCACCTCAAAACACACACACACACACACACACACACACACACCCCTACACACAGCCCTCACAATTACTCTTTGATCCCAGCCCACCAGGGAAAGGAGGCTCTACCCCTTTCACCAAGGGCTCACCAGGTACAGCTACCAACAGCTACCATGGGGACAGCTCCTTCCCCACCTTACCCAGCGGCTAGGTCAGGTTGGAGTCCTAGTAAACCAACCACTCATTTTCTCCCCTGCTCACTCCCATTCCTAAAACAAACACTAGGCCAGGCATGACGTGTGGTGCTTTTAGGGGACATGACCCCAGCCCTCAGTGATACACAGATAAACCTAATTAACTCTAATATGATGCAGTCAATGTCACTTTGGGCATTAAGGAGGAAGTGCAGTTACACAATCCAGGGCAAGTTGCTCAACTTCTGTCTGTGCCTCAGCTTCCCTACCTGTAGAATGGTAATACAAATAGTACCTACTTCATAGAGTTGTTGTGAGTGTTAAATAAGGTATTATGTGTAGTCTTAGTACCTGGCACATGGTGTTAGCAGTTGCTATCATCATCATTACTAGGCATATAATGTTGTAGGTCTCTGGGGAAGAAGGATGTTCATTCTCATTTGGGTAGGAGCAGAGGCCTCATGGAGGATGTGATGTTTTATCTGGGCCTTCCTTGAGGGTCAGGTAGGATTGCTTCTGGTGGAAGGACGTTTAGGTAGATGGGACAGCAGTGCAGAAGCTGGGAGGTGAGACTGCCTGGGACCTAGATTAAGGAGACTGGTAAGAAGTGATTGAGGCTAAGCTGTGCTTGGCTTTGCCATGCCAGGTATGAAGTGGCAGGTATCATCCAAGGTCACTGAGCAAAGGGGAAGTAGGACCAGGTTGGTGTGCTCTGTGGCAGCTGGCAGTATAGCAGGGGTTGACCAGAGGGGAGAGACTCCTGCAGAGGTGAGTGACAGACGGGCCCTGGCCTGTCTCCTGGCACGGAGTGGTCCAGGAAGAACAGAGAGGAGATATTCAGAAGCCTAGGCATCTGGCCCTATTTAGTATAGGCAGTAAAGGAGATGTTGCAGAGGACTGTGAGGGTGTGTGGACATGGGGCAGACAATCGAGATTTAGGACAGGCAGAGGAGCAGGGCTGGGAGGAGGAGGACTGCTTGCTCTTGGCCTTGAGGAATTTCAGAAATTGCATGTCCACATCTGGTGCTCAGAAAGAAGATCTGGGCTGGATACCACATCCTTATTACTGGAGACAGCTGAAGCCACAGGAGGGTTGAGGAAGGGGGTGAGGTGGGGGTAGAGGGAGTTGAAGGGAAAGCCCAAAGAGATGACAGCCTGGCTGGGAATCTTGGGAAGCACCCACATCCACAGGTCCACACTGAAGCAGTACTCATGCTGGTTAATAGCTCCAGCTCCTGGCTATGGAGCCATGCATTCGTATGTAACCTCTCTGAGACTCAGTTTCTTCACCTCTGAAACAGGATGATGAAAACAGTACCCACCTGTGAGGGAGGTGAGCCTGAAACAAGTAAATACGGGTAAAGCACTGGAAACAGTGCTCGGTACACGGTAAGCGCTGCACAGAGGCATTTACTGTTATCACCATCATAGCCATCTCCCTGGGCCCAGGCTGCTTGTAGTTGAAGTTCACCACCTTTGCAAGGTAATGGCAGGCAGCCTCAGCACCAGGACCCAGCAGTCGGGTTGTATTTGCAGAAGTCCGCAGGTGGGGAGCTGGAGGAACCACTTTAGGTCCTTAGTAGAGATAGGCCTGCACCTGGCTAGCTCCTGACTTCACCGAATCGGCCTAGTCCGAGGGTTCAGAACACCACTTCCGCTCCGTGCTGGGTCCGTTCCTACCCTGGCAAGGTTCCCCGCCACCTTCCGGGGATTGGCTTTGGGCTGGAGACTCTGGATGGATGAGCCACCAGGACTGCAAGGCGGGGCTGGCGTGCAGCTGTCTGGACTCTGGGCTCTTGGACAAAGGGGTGGGGAACCAAGCCAGGGCCCGGGACATCAATGCCTCCGCCAAATCGAGCAGCTGCCAGTCTGGCGTCGCTTCAGTGGGAAGATGCGCCACCCCTAGAACCCTCCCTGGCCTCCTCCGCCCCGCTAGGCCCCACCCTCGAGGAGCCTCTGCTCAGAGTTACCTGGGAGTCCTCCCCTGAACCCCGCCTTCAGCCTTTCCGGGCAGCCGCGCGGCGGCGGCGCGCCCAGTCCTTGTATCCGAAGACTCGGAGTAAAGCGGGTTCAGCCAGAGAGAGGCCCTGCGTCCGCCCTCCTCTCGAACCCGGGTCTGCGCACGTCGAGCCCCCTCTCTGCGTTGCGGGTGGCCCAGGCCAGCACGCCTGGGGCCCATTCCACCCACCCTCCGGGACAAGCGCGCCTTCCCCCAGGCTCCTACCGCCACGCTCGCGCTCCTGCGCATCCTTAGACCCGGCGCCCCTGCCGTCCCAGCCCCGAGTTTGCAAACGTGCGCCCGGGTTCTCCCGCTGGAAGCGGCCAAGTGTGACCTTTAGTCCTTCGCCATGGGTCCAGGTGCAACCGACCCCCCAGCAGGCCCAAACGCGCCCTTTCCCGGGTCAGGCCGGGCGGGGCCGGTTACGCGCGCGCCCCCTGCCGTCCTCGTCCTCGCCCCCAAATTGGGATGTGTCCCCAGGCATCTGCCTCCTCACCCGGCCAGCATGCCCTCTCGCTCCCAGGGAGGACTCAGCCCGGCTTCTCTCAGTTCTCTCGCTAGAACCAGGGTCTTTTCCTCCGAGGTCCTCCAACCCTCTGGTCCCCGCGCAGGAACGCCCACCCCCGTAGTGCCCACGTCTACGTTCCCGGCGTTTCCCTGAGCGGGAAACGCCTGACGAGGACCTGAGTAGGTCCCCTCGCCCTCGGCCTGTGCACCCCGCGGCCCCCTACGCCATCCCGCCGCGCCCAGGTCGGCCCTGCTCGCCCCTGACCCGGATCAGCGAGTCCAGCGCTGGCCGGTCCAGACACGTGAAGTTCTGCAACAGCTCCCACTTGTCGCGCTGGAAGCTGCGGCTGGACTCCTGCGCCGCGCGGCCCTCCAGCGTCCAGAACACGCCGGTGCCCAGTGCCAGGTAAGCCAGGTAGGCAAAGAGCAGGAGCACGGTGCTGGGCACCGCGCAGCCCCAGCCCCTGTCCTCGGGACCCGCCCGGGTTCGCGGTCGGTACATAGCTAGAGAGGCGGGGAGCCGGCGCCGGGAGCGGTGGACTGGGACCTGGTGGGAGGGAAAGGCCAGGCACCCAGCTCGTCTCTCGTCTTGCAAACGCCTGCCAGTGCCCGGTTTCTCCAGGGAGGAGGAGTGCTGGGGAATGGGACAGCCTGGCCCCACCCAGCCCTGGGATCCAATCCCAGGGACAAAAAGAGGCTCTGAGACTGTGGGCATCTGGCCCCGCCTCAAATGTATGCGGGGTGCCCACCCGATAGGCCTAGGCCAGGGAGAAGGAGAAAGCTGCTGGGTGACCGCAGACGCTGAGGGAAGGGGCCCAGAGCCCCCTCACATTTCCTGAAATGAACAATAGGAGGGACTCCTGGAAACCTCACTCAGAGGGAGGAGATAGGAGAGACCAACTTTATTGTCTTGGGGACCCTGCCTAAGTTCTTGGACTGGGGAGCTATCTCCAAGGACTTGCTGTCTGTCAATCTCAAGACCACCTTGGGTCTCCCACACCTCTGTCCTTTCCTTTGTACCCCGAAAGAGGGACCCCAGCTGATTGCCACTTGTCCATGAACTTGGGAGGTAAGAGGGGCCTTAACCAAGAGGCTTGTCCACTCCTTGCTTCTGAGAAGGTCCCCGAAATCCCTCTACCCGGAGTGGAGGAAGTGTCCAGGCTGTGTGAAGAGTCCATGAGTCCTCAGCTTCCCAGTCCTCTCTTGGATATGGGGAAGTCCTGGGGTGTGACTTGGACTCCTCTTGCTGCTGTAGAGCTTCCCCTCGGTCTCCTGCCTGGAGCCTCCTTGGCTCCACAGCCTTGCCTCAGACCTATGCAGAGGAACCCAGCCACGTAGGTGCCCGCTTGCTGTTGGACGGTGGGAGAGGCAAAGGCCAAAGTTTCCAGGCCTCCGGATGGAGTGGTCTAAATCTCTCCTTCTGGTCAGGGATGTTGCAATCTGGCAGGGGAAAGGCCAGATCTGGATAATGTATTCCTGAGAGAGGCCAGACGTCCATGGACCTCACTTTCTGGAAGGATCCTGGGATTTGCTGGCTCTCTGGCTTCCCAGGGGGTGTTTGGAAAGGCTCTTGAGAAGGCAGGAGCCCAGGGGAGTGATGAAGTTAAGGGGGTGGCCTGTGAGGGTCAGGGGAGGCCATGTCCAGGAAAGTGGGTGGGACACCCAAGAGGTCCTAAGCCTTGTTCACAGACAGCCCTGGGGAGCTGGCGAGCTTTGAGAGGCAGCTCGCCTGCCCCTCGGCTGAGAGCTTCCTGAGGGCAGAGATCCTCTTTTCACTAAGATTGTTCCAAAGTCTCTGCCCAGCTCTCCCCTCTCTTTGATGCTCCCTGCAGCCATCCCATGGGCGCTCATCAACCCCGGGGCTATTCCTGTCATAGCGTTTTGGGCACTGTGTTGGGGCTGCCTCTTTGCTTGTCTAGCAACTAAAGGCACATCAAGGGCAGGCACGTCCACTGCTGTATCCCCAGACCCTGGCATAGGCCCTGGCTCAGCACCTGGCACATAGTAGGGGCTTGGCAAATGCACTGTGCAGGTATCAGATGAGGCAAAAGTAAAGTCATCCTTTGTTTGTGTAAGGTCTCTTGGAAGGGGGCATGGGGAGGACAATGGAAATCTGGCCATTCTTCCAGGCTACCTTTGGGTGGAAGGCTGTGGCAGGGGCTCTGGGACAAGGGTGCACCTCTCCAGCCACACATGTCTTTAATCCTATCTCATATCTCCTCTCTGTTACTTTCTTGGACATACCTGTCTCCTTTCTCTCTTGGGAGAGCTCCTGAGACCAGCCCTGGCTGAGAAGTGAGGGGGTTGGGAGAGGAGAAGGCAGGGCTGGAAATCCAGAGAGCAGATAGGGTGGGACTGAGGAGGATGAAAGGGGTTTCTGGCCCCCCCCACCGGGGGCCTCATGCAGAGATGGGGATCTTCTGAGGTCTGGGGAGCCCACTGGGGTCAGGGGCTACCCCGTCCTTCATGCCAAGGCCCCTACTGAGCAGCCAGAGCTGGCAGCATCTGTGCAGAAGCAGGGGGCCCAGTGGGAGGATCAGCGCCAGCCACGCCAGGCCAAGGAGGATCCAGATGGCTGCCAGGCTCCGGTACACTGAGATATAATGCTTGCTGGGGTCTGTGCCTGCCAGGGAAGGGAATGGCATCAATGCCAGGGATCTCAGGGCACAGCCACCTCCAGTTTCCATAGGGACCCTCACCAGCTAGGATGCTCTCTCCCTCTTCCTCATAGCAAGGAACAGCAGTGGAGGTAGGTCTCTGCGGGGTGGTGATGGGTCCTAGACCAGAAACTTCTGAGAATATTGCTTAGAATCCACAGTAGCCCCAGAAATCATTGGTTTGGCTCCCTTGAATGGCCAGGGGCTATCTTATCCTCAATAGTTGTCCTCAGCTGACATCTCTCTGTCCCCCAAATCCCAGTGGGCCCCCTCACCCTGAGATAATGTGACTGTTTTGTTCTCACCAACAACATAGTCCCCGAAGCCAATGGTGCTGAGAGTGATGAAAGCAAAGTAGAAGCCCTCGCTGAAGCTCCAGCCCTCCACATGGCTGAAGACCATAGGTGGGAAGATGAGAATGACCAGCGTCCCCAGGGTCAGGAACAGAGCCAGGCCCAGGACTTGCAGTACCTGTGAGGGAAGGAGTTGGCCCCTGAGTCCACTTGAAAGTCTCCAGGATTGTATGAGGTTGGTGGGAGTCTGGGGTAAACTTGGGAATGGGACTGGGCCATAGCTAGGCCCCTTCCCTGCCCTGCAGACCCTTGAGTGGAGGTTGTAGCTACGTGTGGATGACCTTGTCCCACCCAGGGAAAGATTTGGGCAGAGGGATTGCATTAGTGGGTCAAGGAGCGATTTGGAGACCCATCTGGGCTTGGGGATCACGCTTGAACAGGCTCCCCGGGGACTCAGATCTGGAGCAGAAAAGTATCATTGAACTGTCTGCGTGCCTCTGGCCTTGCAAGCGGCTGGCCGAGGGTGGGCACTGGGGGCACGCTGGGCAGCCTGCAGAGCTTGTTTGCTACTGCACAAAAGGATGTTGGAGTTCTGTGATGACCTTGAAGATGTGCTGCAGAGATCCCCCACTCAAAGGAGGACAGTAGGCCAGCTGCCACCTCTTCAGGGTGTTCAGCTGCAGGGAACCTCCTGGCCAGGGGCATACCCTTCTTGGGAAGGCCACACCCAGTGCCTGACTGAGGCAGGTATGAAAGCCTGGCTGGTTCCACCCACTGTGGGACAACTCTGACAGCTCGCACATGCTGTAGAGCTCCTTGAGGCCAAGCCTTTGCAGAGCATGCATAGAAATCCAGCTCCGCACTCTGCCCAACCCTGCCTTTACCCTTCCTCTTTCATAGGCATCTACCCCTAACACCATGCTCGCCAAACTCCATCTCAGCATCGGCTTCTGGAGGACTCCACTTGCAAAAGATCTGTCATAGCAGGCCTGTAAGGGAGTTAGGGGGCATACCTGGGAGCGCCTGGGCCGGTCCTCCCATCTCTCAATGGTGGCCAGGTGGGCACGCAACCCCGTGCCCAGGTGGTTGAGGAAGATCACGTTAAGTGGGATGCCCAACAGGGCATAGAAGACACAGAAGACCTGACCTGCCTCTGTGCTGGGTGCCAGGTTCCCATATCCTGCAAGGGAAGGGGGACGTGTGCAAATATGGAGACTCCAGAACGCCCTCTGTTCCTCTTCCCCAGACTCTAGCTGAGGTTTGTCTGCCACCACCTCTGGGGGCGAGAAGGGGAAGCTCCCCTGTTCCCTTGAACTCTGCTGGAATGATTTTTATTTATAGGACTCCTGCTCATCTTTGAAGGCCCATCTCAAATGACCCTGCCTCCATGAAGCCCTCCTGACTACCACGCTCCTTCTCCCTACTGGGTGTGGTTCTCCATAGTGTTTTATGTTATTGCTATGTAATTATTGACTTTGTCTTCTATTATTGTTTTTTTTTGTGTGTATTTATGGTGTTCCTCTTTGTTGGACTGGAAGTTCCTTGCGGGCTGAGCCTGGGTCTGATCCAAGTTTGTATCTCCCACCCCCAACTCCATCACTCTGCCTGGAATGTCGCCTGAGTTCTAGGAAAGTATGTGGAATTGGACTTAACTGAATGGATGGGGTAGACCGGGATCTGGCGATTTCTTCCTTGGGGTGGGATGGAGTGAGTTTTCTGGCCAAGGGGGTGTAGCAGCTGCTGTCAGTGCCCTGTTCCCTCAGAACACACAAGATACCACCTGCAGCTTTGGTGGACAGTTCCTGTATACAAATCACCCCCTGCTCCCAGTTTCTGCACATCTCTCTCTACCTGAGAGATTCTTCTGGCCGAAGGAGCGTGCTTGGTCTATGGGAAGTTTCAAAATGCTGGGGAAATAATATACTCAGGACCAGCTCTCAACCTTTGAGGGCAGGAGTTGGTAGCTAAATGGCTCTTCATTCTTGTCCCTCGTTGGACCGTTCTGAGGATGGGCTCCATCTAGCCTTTCAGAGGGTCCCAAGCAGAAATGAGCCCAGTTACCCAAGCCAGTAATCTGCTCATTAATGCAAATTTCATTGCCTTCTTCTCCCTACTGTTTCACTTACCCACTGCCTCCCCGGGCTTCCTGAATCATCTTCTAGACACGCCACATCCTCGCCTCAGCATCTGCTTTTGGGGAGCCCAAACTAAGACAGGAGTCTTGGGGAAGCTCTTCTCTACCCCAGCCCTTTACCTATGGTGGTGACGACTGTGCCTGCGAAGAAGAAACTGCTGCCAAAGTCCCAGTTGCTGGGGTTGGTGGAGTTGCCTTTGGGGTTCACACCTTTCACCCAGGCTTCCATGATGACCTGTGGGGGGTGGCATGGCAGGGGAGGAAGAAGGAGCTGATGGTTACTGGGCACCAGTTGTTGCCATGCTCTTGGCAGCATGCTTCTGTGTCATATAATCTAATGATACTCTTAGATGATATTGTTCCCATTTCATGGAAAGAGGAAATGAAGGCTCAGAGTGGCTAAGTGACCTGTGCAAGGTGACTGGACTCCAACTCCAGTGTCTGTTCCACTGGCCAGGGCCGACTAAGGTGTAGACTGCAAGCATGGGCTGGGGCGGGAGATGGGCCTGAGGGGTGAGGTGGATGATGCTCAGGGAGGAGTCCCATAGGAGATGCTGCTAGTGGCCAAAAGGATGGCACGCACATCAGCTGTTAGAACAATGGGAGGATTTCAGGTTGGGTGTGGCTGGAAGGGGTTGCTGGGG